GTTGATAGCTAACGATGTGGATAAGAAACGGTGTTATATGTTAATACATCAAACACTGAAACGATTCCATACTGCAAGTTGCGCAGTGATCTGTGAGGATGCTGCGAGAATGCCGGTTCTGAAGGGAAAGGTGTGTCTTGCTTTGTTGCTTTTTCATTCTCTTGTTTATTTATCGATGTTTCTTCATTTGACTATCGGCATATTTTATTATTCTGAATTTTACGTTCAAGATAAGAGTTGCTTTCTTCAATGAGTAAACATATTATCCTATTTTTGGACTTATAAGACTCGACTCTCAACTTTGTTTCTGAAAAATCGAGCAATCATCATTTTTCCTTTACTCTACAGCCGATCAGATAATAGATTTCAACATTTTCATTATTTTTTAAACCTTTCTCGTTGTATAGGGTTATCTTTGAGAGGTAGTGAGAGTAACACATTCATGTTTGAGTGGTCCCATTATGATATTTCTGCTATCGACCCGTTTGGACGGCCGAGCATGTGATTGAAAATCGTTTTGTTTTCAAATAACTCCCAAGTCCCATTATCAAAAACCTGGGCATGTTCGTGTCTTTGTTTTTGATTCCTATAATTCTCTATGCGAAGTTTTGCTTCAGGACGGCGAGCCTCTGAAATTTGACCGCGTACTTTGCGATGTGATTTGCAGTGGAGATGGTACTCTCAGAAAGAACCCAGAAATTTGGTCGAAGTGGACACCACAGGATGCTTTGGGATTACACCGCATGCAGCTTTCTATAGCACAGAAGTATGATAATTCGTAGTTCTGTATTTCTCTCATAATTGTCTTTTTAGGGGAGCAATGCTTTTGAAAGTTGGTGGTCGGATGGTGTATTCAACATGTTCCATGAATCCTATAGAGGATGAGGCGGTCGTTGCCCAGTTGATTAGGACATCTGGTGGCGCTCTACGAATATGTGACGCACATCAAATGCTTCCCAAATTGAAGGGACTCCGTGGAATCTCATCCTGGAAAGTAAGTGCTCCTGTATATACTCTTGTAGCAAATTATGCTTCAAACCTAGGTCTTTGATCGCGATATGAATTTTTACAACAA